GGGGGTGGGGGTGGGGGGTAAGGGGGATGTAGCAGGTAAAAAGTGGAGAGGTACCCGGGGTTGTCAACTGGGGGTATGCATAACCCTGGGGGTACTTGGAGAGGGGCTAAGGGGTACACGTGGGTGGGTGGGGACAGAGGGCTGCCATGCACCACCCCACGCCACACACTCCCAGGAGCAGGGCTGGGGGAGAGGGGGGAGGAGGAGGGTCGAGGGCAGCAGCTCCCTTCTGCAGGCTGCACAGGCACCACTAGGGTGGCTGGACACTGGTGGGGTTGGAAGCTCACACGTGGCAGCTGCCACTACCATCCACTACCCTGCACTGCCACCATGTGCAAGCCCTCACTCCCGGCTCTGGGTCTAGCCACCACCACCCTGCTCCATGTCCAGCCAACACTACCCCCTGTTCCACTCCAAGTCTGGCCACTGCCACCCCCCTGCTCCACCAGAAGTGTACCCAGAAGGGGTACATTTCCTTAAAAATGGTTGAAAAACCCTGAATTAGAAGAAAAAAACCAACATTAGATTACTACAACTTTAAGGGTTATGACCCAGTTATTAAAGCATCTGATACTTGGAGTTCCCACAAATGCTCCCAAAATTTTACATTTAGATTATTTGCAAGTCCTTATCAAGTAGGACCCAAAAATATTTTGAAACTAGCAAATTGCACATCAAAAATGACAGGTAGGCAGGGACACAAGCCTGTGTGCTCCCCCCACTCCCCCACCAATCCAGGTCCAAGCCTGCTCCCCCCACTTCCCCCTGAGTCCAGGCCCATTCTCCCACTCCCTCGCACCCCACCTCTGAAGGAGCTGCTGGGCTGCAATTGTCCCACGACCTGACCCAGGAAGGGCCCCAGTCACTGTGAACAGGGCCACAGCCAGGTCGTGAGGCAATCAGAGCACCGTGTCTGATCCAGGGGTGCAGCCCATGGCCCCTGTTCTGTGCAAGGGGCAAGGGACAGCTGCAGCTGCAGGCTGCACTCAGCCTCTGCTCTGTGCCTTTTTGCCACTGCATTGGCAGCAGCACCATGCTGTGCCATGTGCCTTGCTGTCCAGCTTGCCCAACAGCGGAACTCACATGGTGACTGGACCACTGTCAAAGCAGCAGCAGTGATCTGGCCCAGCCATGGCCCCCTCTCCCTCTTGGCTCTCCAGCGCTGTGCCTCTGGAGGAGCCACCAGACTCAGACTGCCCCACAACCCAGCCCGGCTGGGGCCCCATCACCATGAATAGGGCCCTGGCTGGGCCAGATCATTGGCCAATCAGAGCTTGTCCAGGAGTGCAGCATGGGGGAGCCAAAGAGGGGGCACATGTCCTCCTCCCCTGGCTCCTCCTGTGTCTGGCCCCATGCGCTCCCACCGTCACCCAGGAAGGTGGGGGGAAGCTTGCATGTGGTGTCTGTAGATGCCACCCCATGCTCAGTGTTTGGCCATGTGCAATCACCCCCACCTCGCCTCCCTGCTTCCCCTCCCTGGGTGGAGGCAGCGGGGTCCAGGGAGCAGGGCAGGTGGTCAGGGACACGTTGGGATGGGGTGGGGTGCACTGCTGCAGGGCTGTGCAGTGCACCGGGGAAGGGCGCAGCTGCAGGGCTGTGCTGCATGCAATGCCCACTCCCCTCTTCTCTCCCTCCCTGCCACCTCCCACTCCCTGCTGGCTGCGGCAGGAAGCAGAAGGCAGTGGGGAAGGGAGCAGGTACGACAGTGTGCTGCGCTGCGCTGCGCGGCAGTGCCCCATGGCAGCACACCAGATGGCCACACCCTGCAGCAGGCAGCGTGGTGCAGCTGGGAGCATGCCATGCCATGCTTTTCCCCCAGCCACCTGGCCCACTCCCTGGCCCCCAGCCTCCTCCTGTCTGTCTGTCTGTAATGCTCCAGGCTAGCCAAATTGCTGCCTGATCTGTGGGCAGCACATGCGCAGTTGGCCCAGAGTATTACAGACAGACCAAGTAGGGCTGTGCAAAATTTTGCCAGCTGTTTCATTTCAACACTGTTTTGACCAATTTCGAGGTTGAAACAGCAAAATTGGAACAAAATAAAGGCCATTGAAATAGCCTTGAAACAAAATGAAGCTGGTCGAAGCGTTTTGACTATAGGCTGGGAATGGGAAGTCAGTTCAGCTGGGCTGACTTCCCCTTCCCAGCGCAAGATCCGGTAGGGGGAAGCGAGGCAGCCCAGCTGGGCTGCTTTCCCATCCCTCGCACTAGATTCCGCCCTCGCCGCAATCTAGTGCAGGGTACTGGAAAGCAGCCTAGCTGGGCTGCCTCCTGCCCCCAGCGATCTAGCAGTGGGGATAGGAAGTCAGCCCAGCTGAGCTGACTCTCCATCCCTAGTGAAACATCTAAAAAGTGTTGGAACAGCCTTTCTGTTTCAACGGAACAGAACAGAACAGAACAGCTGTTTCAACTGGAAGTGAAATTCGATACGAAACTGTTCCGTTGAACCGTCAAAACTCAAAGCAAAATGGAAAAGTGACGTTTTGCACATCCCTAAGACTAAGGCTTTATTATATTAGAATAGCGAAGTGAAACACTGCTGACAGTTTGTATGACCGTTCCTTTAAAACAGAAGTTTTCAACCTTTTTTAAGGAGTGTACCCCCTCTGGGTACACTTCTGGCGAGGCGGAGAGGAGGTGGCAGCAGCCAGATGCAGAGGGAGGGAGAGGGCTTGCATATGGTGGTGTGGCGTGGTGGGTGGTGACCATGGCCGCCATGTGTGAGGTCCTGCCCTCCCTCACCTTCCGCATCTGGGTGGCCTGGTGGCGCCTGTGCGGCCCGTACAAAAAAGGCGCTGCCTTCGCTCCTCCCCATCCCCCACCTCTGGCCCTGCTCCTGGTTGGTGGCGGTGCCGGTTGGTGGTGGTACATCCCTGCCCGCCCGCCTGTGCGTACTCCCTACCCCTTTCCAAGTACCCTCGGTTGACAACCCCTGCTTTAAAAAATAAGAATGGACATCTTTTCTTGGTGCAATATAAAAAACAAAACAAAAAACACATGTACCAGACTTCTGCAATATCCATGAATCATGTGATTCTCCTCACAAAAGCTCACTAAATTGCTCTTGAAATCTTCAAGCTCATTCGATATACATTTGAAGTGTACAGGATACTGCTCCAATCTGAAAAATAAATGTGTATCAGCCATGCATGCGAGTGTTGCTCCTGAAGCTTTTAAAAATAGATTAGACAAACATTTGTCTAGGATGGCTTAGACAGGTATGATCCCACTTTGAGTAGAGGGTTAAACTTGATGACTTCCCAAGATCCCTTCTAGCACTGTTCTTATAAACTATATGTTTATTTTTAAAAAGGGACATGATTTAAGGATTATAAACCAATTTTTAAAGCACCTGATGCTTGGAGCTTCCACTAACATCCAAGAACTTCTACATTTAGATTATTTACAGGTCTTTATCAGGCAGGGCTCAACATTTTTTGAAATTGTGAAGTGAAGATCACAAGATACCAAACTAGCTTTTAGATCTCTGGCAGCAAGATGCATTGGAAAAAAATATTGGTGCTTTGATACAGTCAAAATGTCTTGAAAATGGAGAATGGACAGGGGTTTTGGAAAGAAAGAGAGAAGTATAGTAGAAAAGAGTAAAACAAAAAAAACAAGAAGACTGATGGTAAATTACACACAAGCAAACAAAGGGGGGAAAATTAATTATTGCCTAATGAAACTACATGAGATCATAGCAAACTTGTAGTGAGACATGAACAAGAGAGAGAGAGACATTTCTTACTGTATTTCCACAATTTCTCCCCAACTTCATCTGAAAAAGTCAGGTCTCCTGAAGAGTTCCCAAACACTTAGTTAAACCAATCTAGTTCAGCCCCTTGTTTAGGGTAGCATCATCCCTGAACAAACCATCCCAGCCAAGTGTCTGTCTAACTTGCTCTTGACAATTTACAAGGATAGAGTCCACAGCCTCTATATGTTAAGCCTGTCCCAGTACTTAACCACCTTCAGAGTAAGAAACTTCTTTCTAATCTTCGACCTAAACTTTCCCTGCTGCAGTTTGAGGCCATTGCTCCTAGTCCTGTCCACTGTAGTCACAGAGAAAAGCCCATCTCCATCCTCTCTCTAATAACTCTTCAGGGGTATTTGAAGACTGTTATCAATCCTGGCTTGGTCTCTCTCTTCCCGAGACTAAATAATCCTAGCTTTTTCAGCCTTTCCTCATAAGTCATGCTTCCCAGGTCTGTAATCATTTTTGTTGCTTTCTGCTCTCTTTCTAATCTGTCCACATCTTTCTTGAAGTATGGGGCCCAAAACTGGATATAATATTGCAAGTGGTGTCCCACCAGTGCCAAATAAAGCAGAAGAATCATTTTCCTTGATTTGGAAGACACATTCCTATTAATACAGTATACCATTGGCCTTTTTTACAACAAGAGCATGCTGTTGTCTCATATTCAGCTTACGATCCACAGTAACCTCCACAGTACTGCAGCCTAGCTAGTCATTCTCTTGTCTGTATTTGTGCATGAAATTATTCCACCTGAACTGAAAAAAAACTTAGCACCTGTCCTTGTTGCATTTCATTTGATGGATCATGGACCATTTCTCCAGTCTATCCAAGTCATTCCAGATCCTAGCCCAACCCTTTAGGCAATTTGTTTTATTTGCACAGTTTTATAACTGAACGAATGACACATTAGTGAAGGTAGAGTTTAAATGAAACATTTTTTTTCAGATACGAGGATGCTGAGCAGAAAATAATCTATTCCAGGGATCAGCCATACCTTGTTAGTTTGCCTTTCAGTTCTGCAACTTCATCCATCAATTCCAGGCAGATTTCATCTGATACTTCCATTGCTTTCTGTGTACCCAGTACCTGGCCAGTTAATTTCTGGTACATGTATTTTAAGTCTGCAACACTACTAGTTAGAGCATCCAATTGCCTTCAACAAAATGGAAAGAAAAAACCATACCATTAATTCAGATATTTGGTTCAAATAACATTTAAATTTAAATCATATCTTAAGCAGAATACAATTTTCTTGCAACTGCCACCATGTTGATCTGGACCAAATCTGACATGGAGACTTAAAAAAGTTAGGCGTTATCATCCAACCTGTTGGAGGATGTAACTAATAAATAAGATGTCCCAATATCTAAAAAAATAAAAGTTTATATTTAAGTGTAAAAATGTTTTTAAAGCCAAGAGATGCAGCTGCCTTGGATCCTGGATATGCCTGCCCTGCGTGGCTGGATCAGGCCCCAGTTGGGCCATTTCCTCATGGCTGAATCAGGCCTGGCTGTGCCACGCTGCATGCCAGATCAGGCCACGATCCATATCCAGCATGCAGACCAATGTGGCACCATTTATCTGGGCCATGGAATGAAAAGGTTGGATATCACCAATGCAACATACATATCTGAGTCTTCAGTTGCTCCTTGAAAAGTCTCAGCATCTTCCTCAGTTAAAAATAATATATTTCCTCCTGGAAAACAGACAGAAAATCTGACAACGTTAATGCCATTTGTGAAATGCTTATGTACATAATAGTTACAAAGAATGTGTCAAATATATTGCATATAATAATATTTATATTTATAATGTAATATAGTAGTGCACAAAACATGCTACATATTTAAAAAAAATAGGATCAAAGATGCTTACTATTTTTATCCAGGTTTCTTTTATTTGTAGACTTATTTTCAATGGACTTATCTGAAATACTAAATTTTAGAAAAATTAATACAAGTTCACTTATTTAAAGATTAAAATAACCCCAGCACATTTATCCATCCCATTTTTCCTTTACGAGGAAGTTTGCTTTACTGTAATGCTGAATGCTACATAATCACTGTAGGTAACTGTAACGGGTCCCATACCTAATCCAGTTGGCTGTAGGAGCAGAGAGGAAATGCCGCTTGCCTCAGGTGTGGGAAGCACAATCAGGACTAAAATTGCCAGGACTGATGGGGAAAGTGTGGGTAGGTGACAGGTGGCAGGGTGGTTACAGGCTTCTTAAGGCCAGGACCACGGCTGAGGCCACAGATTGGCTCTGACCTGCCAGGGTAAAGGAGCTCCAGACCACAAGGGACCGAAAGGAAGCCCCACAGCACCAGACACCAATGTGAAATTAATTGTTATAATCATGGTGTGACATAGACCAAGGCTAGGGAAAGATTTTAATTTGAAACAGTTTGCTTATGCCTGTATTTATGTTTAAAACTGGGAAACCAAAAGTGACTGTCAGGGGAGGCTTGGAAATCACAGTGAGCATCCAGAGAGACACTTCCATGTTGCTGGAGAAATAGATTGTGAACTGAGGGTCAGAGCCTGCAATGAAACAGACTGTGGGCACAGACAGGACAAATGATGAGGGGGGACCTGAGGCCTTAAGGACTGTGCGAGCAGGCCCAAAGCCCAAGAGGGGCAAGGTCACAGGGCCCTGAAATGGGCTGAGGAGCACAGCCAAAGTCAGAGGGCCAAGGCCAGAAGGCCGAAGCCCAGGCAAAGGTTTAAGATCTGAAGGGCCAAGTGCTGCAGTGGAGGCCAGGGAAGCCCCTCCACCTCAATATCCAGGAGACGGAAAAATTGTACAGTGGAGTCAGGATTCTGAACCAAAGAGGCAAAGTTGAGACAGAGGAGAGTTAGGGCTGGAAGTACATCCTGAGCTCACTGACCTCTGAGGGCAGCCTCCCCATTTTAGTTTAACATCAAGGTGTGGCAGGTGAGACAGCAAGGTGGGCCCCTGAAAGGTCAGAGTGAGCAAGTGGGGCAGGCTCCAGGCAACCACTAGGGGACTCTATGGCCACCCTCTGGGCCTGACATATTATAGTAAAATTAATTATACAGCAAAATTGTCTCTTACTCTGCTGAGATGGACTATGGGTTTTATTGTAATATTTGTTTTAAAATGTGTTCATGTTGTTATAAGGGTGTATTCCTCAGCTTATTCATAAAGCTAGCACAGGAGAAGGAGTGGGTTAAGAGATAGTGAAGCAAAGATCTGTTTATGTATGGGATGAGACAAGATAGACCTCTAGCATCAACAGAAATTTGAATAGCTTTGCTGGCACAACAAGAGTGAGAAGGCTTACACCCAGAAGGTTGGAGGAGAGCTGAATAACAATAGCAAGGTAAGTGTGAACAAGGATGGTGCTGGCTTCTAGGAGATAGATTGGAGAGAGAGAGAGAGAGAGACTAGCAGAGTAGCTTTAGGGGCTCAGCAGCTGGGCAGATTAGAAATGGAATAGCTGAAAATCTTTGGAGGTGCTTAGGCTGTGTGGGCTGGACTGGTGAAAAAAAGGAACTGATTCACCCCTTTGGAGGAGGGCAGAGAACTTTGCCTTTGGGCCTTTTCCCCAATAAATGCCACTACTGAAGGGGAGCTGCCCATTTCCTGCTTGCCATGTTGGGGCACTTATACATGTGATGGACCTCTGCTCCAATGCATGCTAATTAGATTAATAGAGCCTTCTGCAAGTTTGCTGGACTGTGCTAATTAGCATGCTCCAGCAATCTTTACGTCATGTATATTTAGCATCTGCACATTTCAAAATGGTGGCAGGCGTGCTTTAACTAAACCTCATCAAACAAGCTTTAGTTAAAACACCCCCACTGCCATTTTGAAGAGCAGGACACTGAATACAGATGATGCTGTGGGAGCTTTAATTAGAGTGGCTCTCAGAACCACTCTAATTAAAAATCCCCCCCACCACACTCCAGAACACATGTATAGATGCTCTTAGATTGTGTGTTTTCTCAAAAAAAGGCAAAGTCCTTCTCTCAGGAACAAAACTAGCTCCGAGTCAGGGCCATGGAGAACCAGGGAGGGCAAGGAACCCAAGTCTCCCCAAACCTGCCCCACCCTACAAGCCACTCCTTGGCCAACTTTAGAGGATATTTCTCAGAAGCTGAGAAGGCAGTAGTGGTCCAGAGCAAGGGCTACCCCCAGGACTCCATGACACCTGAGAAGAGGAATAAAAGTGAACCACCTTGTGAAGAAAAAAACATATGCCATTTAGATTCAGATTCACAAACAGAGCCTCTGAGTTGAGTCCACATGGAGAAGAAAATACATTGTCACTGGCATAGAATAATTATTGTAATTTTAACTTTAAAAGATGGTTTTCAGAGTGTTGTTGGGGAAAAATATCAGGTGGACACATAATTACCATTATCACTTTTGATGATTTATGGTTAATACTCTTTGAAAATAAAACACAAGTGGACCAGAGTCAGCCCGGGATGTTTACTGGAGGATGTGCTAGGAAGAAGACTGTAGCACTGCAGTTAAGGATCACAAAAGTAGTTTAGATTCACTGTATTCCTTTGAGGGGCAGGCAAAGTAGTAGTATTATCATTTCATAAATAAAGAAAATGACACACGGAAAATGGTCCTCAAACCTCACCAATTTCTGGGACACAATAGTAAAAATGGCATCCTGTGGGCAACATCTTCATTTCTCTATGCATCAGTTACATAGACATTAGGGCTGGAAGGGACCTCGGAAGATCATTGAGTCCAGCCCCCATTCCCCTCCCCCCCCCCCGAAGGGCAGGAAGTCAGCTGAGGTCATAGGATCCCAGCAAGATAAGCACCCAATTTACTCTTGAAGGTGTTCAATGTAGGTGCTTGAACCACCTCCAATGGCAGGCTACTCCAGACCTTGGGGGCTCGGACAGTAAAGAAATTCTTCCTTATGTCCAGCCTGAAATGGTCTTGCAGTAGTTTATGACCGTTCAACCTCGTCATCCCTTGGGGCGCTCTGGTGAACAAACGTTCCCCCAGATCCTGGTGGTCACCCCCGATAAACTTATAGGTGGCCATCAGATCACCCCTGAGCCTGCACTTTTCTAGGCTAAAGAGCCCCATGGCTCTCAGCCTGTCATTGTAAGTTCTGTTTTCCTGACCTCTGATCATGCGCATGGCTCTTCTCTGCACTCTTTCAAGCTTCTCTACACCCTTTTGAATTCCGGAGCCCAAAACTGGATGCAGTACTCCAGCTGTGGCCTCACCAAGGCCGAGTACAAGGGGAGAATGATGTCCCAGGATTTGCTTGAGAAGCATCTAGTAAAGCAAGCTAAACGCTGGCTTGCATCCATAGCCGCAGCATTGCATTGCATTGCAGGCTCATGTTCATCTTGTGGTCAATGATGACCCCCAAGTCTCTTTCTTCCGTAGGGCTAGCCAGCATAGCACTGCCAAGCCTGTAAGGATGCTGCAGGTTTTTCCTCCCAAAGTGGAGAACCTTACATTTTTCAGTGTTAAACACCATCAGGTTCTCATCCACCGATTTGCTGAGCCTGTCCAGGTCAGCCTGGATCACTCTCCTGTCTTCTGGTGTGGATGCTTTGCCCCAAAGTTTGGTGTCATTGGCGAACTTGGCCAGTTGGCTTCTGACTCCAATGTCCACATCATTAATAAAGATGTTGAACAATATGGGTCCAAGGGCAGAGCCTCAGACATAAATTTACTGTGGCTATGAGCATTAGAGTACAGATCCAGTCTTCATTTAATGGATCTGTACGGTTTCAAGCAACAGCACCAGCAGTTTCACGGCACAGAAAGGGGATAGTGAAGACATGAAAAGTGAAGCTATGAAAAGGGTTCTCTGTGTTTAACTGAAAGGATCTGTGTATTTGGTCATGGATGGTAGGACGGATTAACAGGTCTATCACTACAATGTAGTTTTTGAAGAATTATTCTACCCTTGCACCTTTCCCCAACATATAGCACAAGTATGCAGTCTGCGGATGAGATTACACATTAGAGTTAGCAAGTGCTAATTCTAAGAAATATTAGTCTGCATTACAGTTAACTAGTGCTAGTAATCAGTCATATGTTCAGAGTATACATACCTTCTCCAATGTGCACTGCCCAGACCTGCCACCAGAGGGCTGTTGAGCAGGTGCATTGCTAGAGGTAGCTCCTCGCCCCCTACCTCCATGCCCCCCTACTTCCCTTTCAGTTGCAGGGCCTGGCAAAGGTTGGATATGGGTGTACTGAGGTGGCATAACCTGCAGGCTTCCCAGAAGTAGACAGGGAGGGACAACCCCTCCACCAGAACCTCTGCTACTCATGGGCTGATAAGGGTGGCAGGGCAGTGATCTTGCAGTGGAGGGGCTGATGGGGGCAGAGGGGGAAACTGGTGTGGCAGGGGAGAGATCTGGGGGTAGAGGGTGCAGCATCCTCACCCACCTGTTACCTGGCTGTTCCCAACTGTCAGTCCAAGGCTGTAAAATCCTGGATGATATTTAGTCCATCTGGAAGTAGTGCCTCCTGGGATACTAGGGGACTGCAAATTGTTGGTTCTCTCTCAGATGTACACCAAGAAGTTAACTTAAACTAGGTAGCCAAGCTCAAAAGATAATCCTGGTGCAAACTGGCACAACTTTAAGACACCTAGGTTGCAGCCAGAAGTTAAGTTTGTTGCATGATCAGCCACCTGAAAGTGCTGTATAGCCATGTGTGATACACATGCATGGCTGCAGAGTGCTTTTAAAGGTGGCCAATTGCTCAACAAATTAATCTTCATCAAATGAGGAATCAGATAAAGGCACTCCACTTTGGAGTGCCTTAGGGACCTTGGGTTCCCTAGAGTTAATATGTCGTGCAATTGGGGTTGGATTGATGCAACCCAGCTCCACCCCCAGAGCAGTCTGAAGGAGGGGAGGGGGAGCAAGTTATGCACTAGGGTTTGCCCCACCTGAGCTCGGGGGGCACAGCAAGTGGATTAGAGCTCCCCTGTCTCACAGCCCCCCCGCCAACTCTCCCCACTCAAGCTCAGGCTGGGCAAACTCCGGCCTGCTCCCTTTCCCCCCCCCCTTTCTGCAGACAGCACTAAAGTGGGGGGGAGGGGGAGGAAGAGGCAGCAGCAAGGGGAGAAGGGCAGCTCCTCTGCTGCAGGCAGTCTCAGTCCTCCCCTCCCCACCGTGACCCAACTTGCAAATACCTGTTGAGTCAGTGCGGGGTTGAACTCTAACAGAGAAGGGAAGGGGGCTTTTACATAAAGTGCCATGAGTTAGAGCTGGGGCCTGCATGTCTGTCTGTGCCCCTAAGGTGCACTTAGCACTAGTTAATGAGCCTTAACGTGTGATCATTTACATTTTAAGTGACCTTAACATGATCCAATTGTAAAGTGTAATCTCATCCTAAGTGCTAAGGTAGGGATTTAGACTTAAATGACTTGTGTAATGTTGCACTAGAAGTCAACAAAGAACTCATCTTAAAGCACAGGTGTCTCTATTGATCTCTCGGGTTTAAACATAAAAAAACATACGCCTCCAAATATGTTATCTTATTTTTTGGTATTGTTTTTTTAGAAGGCAGTTTGAGGGGGGCATACCTTTAAATTCTTACAGAGACAAAATACCTGTTGATTTAAATAGATACTGGCCTCAGTGAGGACTGTGGTATTTGATACATGCTGTTTGAAAATAAAAGATGACTTAGCCAAAATAAGTGCATAAAATAAACTGAGTTACCAATCCTGGGAGCACATGGCAATCCAACTTTTCATAGTAGCATGAAATGTTTCTCTATCAATAAAGATATTCTGTCTTTCAGGGTCTAACATATTGTACAGCAATAACAATCTGCAGTTTTCATGGTTCTGTCCTGTGACGTCTTCTAAATATTTTATTAAAACAGAAGCAGGAACTAGCCCTGTAAAAGAGCAAGAGATATATTAAATTTTTCAGTCCATTTTTAAATGTCCTGTTTTGGTTGTTAGAATACTTGCAATACTAGAGGAATAAGGGTACCTGTCTCCTCAGTTTTGCAAACTTCAAAGGTAAAGCTGATCAAATCATCTTCAGAACAATGAACAAAGTTCAGTATATTATTAGTTATGTATTCATCAGCTGCAGTCTTTCCTAAAATGAAATAAGTGACATACAGTTTTCTTTCCCCTATGAGGCTCACTTAAAAGGGGAAAGTTCCCCGACCAATTTTTCCTCATACCAGCAGCACCCTCCTCCCCCCTCCCACCAAGGGCCAGAGAAGAAATCCGATTTGCATTATGCCCTAGAAACCAACAGTTACATCCTCTGTCAGACTAGTAAAAGGAACCAAATTTTAAGTCTTCACTGAGGACTCCACCACCAGCACCCAGATGTTTTACATCAGGACTTGCTTGCTCGAATACCTTTGCTGACCTCAACTATAAGTGACAGCTCATTGGGAAAGAGACCATTACTCAGGCAGCCAGATGCCAATTCACATAATTTTAATATAACATAGCTAATAGGCATAAACTGCACCCAAAAAAGAGCAGGTTAGGAGGGCTGGCAAATATAGGGCTGCATATAATTAAATTTAAAGAGAAATCTGTTACATTTAAAAAGAAATGATGCTGTAAATCAGTGATTCTCATCCAGGATGTCAAAGGAGGGAGGGGGGGCGGGGTCACTTGGGGTACACTGACATCCTTTCAATGCTGTCATGGGGCATGTCCACATATGCAACCACATGTGCTTGCAGCAGTTCAAATGGAAGTGGTGCAAATTTGAGCCTGGGCTTTTTGCTTCAGCACACATGCCCAGACATATATTTTGTTGTGGAGCAAATTGTGCTATTTGGGGCAAAATAACCCTGCCTGGCTCCTCCCAGATCTACAGCCAGGGGGAGTTGGAGCCTGGGGCCAGCACCCATGCTGGCCCCAGCAGTATAAAAACCTGCCCTGGCCAGCAACTCAGGGCTACTTGCCCTCAGGAGCTTCTGGGGCATGAGCAATTAGTATTTGGGAGACACTACCCCTTGCGCCAAATGGACTGCTGAAGCAGCATCTCAAATTCATTTTTTAAAATAGCTCCAAATCCACCTTCTTCCACAATTAGAACAAAAGGGGGAGAGAGAGAGAGAGAGAGAGAGAGAGAGAGAGAGAGAGAGAGGGATTGATCAGATGGGCAATGTTTTATTGCTATATTTACAATGTTAAAGCATTTTGGAAGCCTACTAGTGTCTCTAGCATCATAATAAAATGAATCTTAAACATCTATATGTTTTAATGTTTGCTTTTGGTTTCCTTATCACATGGTGGGTGTGTGGTGGGGAGATGTGGGTCAGTGTGTGGGGACTGTGTCTGTGAGGGCTGCTTAGGGGAGGTGGGTCCCCTGCCCCCCACAGGGCAGAACCCCCCCCCCCACTGCACATGGACTGTACTGCCTGCAGGTTCCCAGCCCCCACAATCCCTTCCACCCCACTGGTCTCCAGCCCCTTGCTCATCTCCAGCCTCCCAAGGCTGGAGACGAGTGGGGAAGCAATCAGGAGGCTGGAGATGATTTAGGGATTCCCCCAGTTAGTTCCAGACTCCTGATCACTCCCCCTCTTGGCTCCTGCCCCACATTGCTCCCCCGCCTGGCTCCAGCCTCCTGCAGTGCCCACAGCTTATCAGCAACAGCAGCGACAGTTGGGGCCACTTGAGGCCTCATGCCACAGCCTCGCCACATGGCACAGGGCAGTGGGGCTCAGCCCCAGCTGCCTGGCACCCATGCCGCAGCTGCTGTATTGACTCAGTGCGGCCTGGCTTGGCAGGGCACCACACTGCACCGCATCCTGTCTGACAGCTCTGTGGTGCTGTGGCTTTCACCCAGGTCTTGGTGCCACTCAGCCCAAGCAGCCAGAGCATGGCACCCTGCTGAGCCAGGCCACACCTGCACGATGCAGCAGCAGGGGTGCCAGGCAGCTGGGGTCAAGCTCCACTGCTCCCCACGCAGGGGGGTTGTGCCATGAAGCCCCAAGCAGCCCTGACTGCTGCTACTGCTGGCAAGTGTGGGGGGTTGGGGCCGGGTGGGCCTCCCCCCCCCAAATGGTCTCCTCCCCTCCTCCCCCAGACCCTCAACCCCCTACTTACCTAGCATGAAGCTGGGTCTAGGTCCCTGCAGCTTGTAATGCTGCCTGCCCCGCACACAGGTAGGCAGTGTGCTTCAGCACTGGGGCTAAGGCCAGCCATAGAGCAGTTGGCTACCAGAGTGTCTCTGTGGAGGACCGAGCCTCCGGTTGCCTCACGGCATGGTCTGGGACTGTGCCCTGCCCCAATTTTTCCTTGCGGGTATTTTTTGACCTGGATATCCAAGTTTGCAGTGTGCAGAATGTTTTTTTGCTCCCACTTATGCCTCTTGCAGCATCTCAAAGGGGTTTGAGATGCTGCAAAAGGCATGTGTGCGCTTGTCTGGACATGCCCACACAGTGTTACTACTGCTAGGTGTGCAAACATGATTCACAAAATAAACTCAGAGATTTCAAACAGGAATCTATAACTTTAAAAACATTCTGATTTGTTGTAGTCTTTGAGTTCTTTGCAACAGAAGATTTTCCCTATTATTTTTCTGTAGTCAGAAAACCAGTAAAAATTAAGAGCCGGCATTCTGAGGGGGGCCTTGAGTCTAAAAAGTTTGAGAACCACTGCTGTTGATAGTAGTAAGGGCTATTTTGTGCCACTTATGTACAACATTAAAAGATGAAAGTTCTCTGCCCTGGGGAAGCACTAAGAAAATTCTGCCTCTGTTCACCCCAAACAGAGACTCATCTCATTGGCAAACAGAATTTCTCATTTACTCCTAAAAATAAAGGTTGGATTTACACTTTAACCACTTACTTTCATCAGTAAAAAATGGAGAGTGATTTAATACAGGAGAATGTGCAGATTCTGAAGTTTCAGCAGAGTCTTTTGATAAGGAAGAATTGTCTTCTGATGATAGATATGTATCTTGTGAAAAGGCATCTGACCTGGAATCTATATTTACTACAACACATTGGTCCCTTTTCAAATCTGAATTGTCAGTCTCTTTCTTTGTATTTTGGTGTCTGTCCTCCATCTTTTCTGTGGTAAGATAATTAAGCAAATACAAACAGCAGAAAGTTATTTTAAACAAAACCATAACAATCATATTTCAACACACACTCATGATGTATGTAAGGATATGAAATACATGTTGGCTTGAAAAAAATATATTTGAGAAAGTATTATGTTGAAGACAAGGGGGGGAAGAAGGAAAAAAAAAAAAAAAATCAGATTTCCCCCAGTAAATGAACTAGAGAAGTAGAGTAATACTAATTAGCAAACGTTCAGTGAACAAAAAGAAGGCAAGAGTATAAAGTATCAATATATTAATGTCTTCATACAAGCCGGGACTTATTATAGCCTAATGGAACAAGCTGAAACTTTTGTTAGTCTTGGCATTAAAGTCACAATGATTTTTAAAGCTGTGTTCAACCCTCAAAATTCATCTGCTGCTCTGAAATTTTTGGTTTATAAAACTGGGTTGAAACAAGGAACTTGATAGAAGATGCCCTATGGAAATCAGTGGGAAAGTTAACAGATTCCCAGTGTTATTCTACCGATTTATTTAACATCTCAGCACTATGTACTTACATCTTTAATATCCTTGTGCAATCCACCTTACAGAGAAATTACTTTTATATTTATTAATTAATAACATTTATTTTACATTTACAGAAGCCACAAAGGTAGTTTTTGTTAGACAAGTCAAGGAAGAATAAGTATGATTAAGGGATGTAGGCTGAATAAAAGATATCAGATTCATCCAAAGAACCTTGTCTGCCCAAGAATGATTTAGGCATTTCCCCCAAAATTGGCTTCAGTGCAAAAAGTCTTCTAGAAAAACAAGCCAAGACTCAAAACAAGAGGTGGACAGGAATAAGAGCCAGTTTTCAGTTTTTGAAACAATCACTGAGTCCAAACATTTCATACTCAGTTATTGTCAATGTTTTATACAGACACATTATTTAGTATAATTCAATAAGTTTTAAACAACATGACTGCATCTGATAAGGGGAAGACACGAAATAAACACACAAAGATGTTTCCTGGCTTAGAAAAAAAAAAAAAAAAACAACCAGAACACAGTCATCACTCAAAAGATGCTACATTATGCATGCCTTAAAAAACAAAAAAAACAAAAACAAAAAACAAAAAGTGATCAGTAGTTATAAGTAACTTTGTAGATTTATATTCTAAAGGCAGACATAATGGTGTTTGCTTGTTTATTTAGTTTTTATTATTTCTTGGATCAGACGCCCTCAAGATGTTCTTTTTGGCCTAATCATGAAAACATTCTCCCAGTGTCCAAGAACTACTTTTATAATTACAGGTGTACAGGATTTCATTTTCTGCCTTGTATAAGGATTCATTACCTTCACAAGAAAAAATAAGCTTCTACAGAATCCAAAAAGTGGAATAATTTAAAAAAGAAAGGAAAATTATAAACCTGCAAATAGTAGTAAATCTTTTAAAACTCAAATTCCATCATCAGCACTTGATGCAATGATTGTCTAGCAATGTACTCACCTGAAAACAATAAATTCATGAATTTGAATAAGGACCTATATGAGCCAGTCAACAAACAGTCTCTCCCACCATTTAGCCCAGAATTCTGAGATACTTGAATTAAAGATTATTTAGGAGGACAAATTATTTTTCATCTCCATTCCATCCTCCCCCAAACACACATTTCCCACACCCCATTTTATGCTAGTTTCTAGTCGGATATAAAGACTCAGTACTACCAAATGTTACCAGCTGCATTTTAACCCAGGCAATTGGCATTAGTATTGCTGATCTATTCTACTAACTAAGAAGAAAATGATCAACTAAAAAACAACTTAGACAAAAGCTATTACCAGCTTCATGCAATCTGGTTCATATAACATTTCAAACAAACAAGTCAACTGAGACTATCACATAGTAGTTACATACAGGTTTTGGTAAGCAGTCATTATAAACCTATCACTTATACCTTCGAAATTCTTTCTAGGTTTTCTGTTTTTTACAGAGGAGAGATTGTTGTGATCACTTTTATTTTTTGGCTCCTTCAATCCAGCTGATTCTGACTGCTCTTACGCAGCAAATTACTACCCTCTGCACACCTCCTACTGACAATCCCTTCATTGTGCACATTTGGGTTGATCCTTCAGTCCTAATGAAGACAGAAAACCAATTTAAGAACCTATTCCTGTCATTTGTCCTTTACAGGTAGCCTTGTGCACCTGCTGGGAAAGCCAGAAGCTTCTACCAGTGCAGAACAAGTTGCAGGCTCTGGACCTCAATAAAAGCATGTTTTCCCTGAATAAATGCATTAGGAGCTGCCCGTGGTTTGCAATTAAAATTAGCATTATGTCTTTTTGTTGTGTTTTGTATAGCCCTTTGAAAAGTGTTACTACAAATTAGAAGAGTCTTCTCCTGCCTCCCAGCCAGAAAATCTGAGGTTTTTTTGAATATAGACTTGCAAGTTCCAGGAGGGAACTTATAAATTTATAATACATTTAAAGATTATAAGCAGAGATGAGGAGAACCCAAGGAGATTTGTGTTAGGTAGTTATTATAGGGAAAAGGAGGAGAGGAAGAGAGGAGGAGAGGAATGAAGGTGGAGAGGAAGAAACACAGGGGCTTGGCATGGACAGAAACACAGAGGAGACTGTGGGAGAGGAGAAGAAGGAAGCAAAAGACTTCTATGGACATGGATTTGGGTGGTGTTGGCAGCACTGCTCATATAAACCAGGTTTTGTGTGTATTTGGGGAGGGGTAGATGTTTTTGAGTGTTGAAAGTGCTACTTTATGGGCTAGATTCATTAATAAAGTTTGAAAAATTAATACATGCCCCAACCCTGTACACACCCAGGGCAGCTGCTGCCCTGACAATGAGGACACCCATTGCAGCAGCAGGTAGGGATCAAGGTACAAGCCCTGGACCTTTAAGCTGCAGCTCTGAAAGGGCGTTAAGGCCTATAATGGCACTAATGATCACCTGGAACCTCTTTATCCAGTTCCTTGGCAAGGAAAATAAAAAAGCCCAACAGCAGCATGTCAGGAGCTGACTGATGTCAGGACTGTGGGTAGTCTTACGTAATGTGTTTAGATTCTGGCTGTACGAGATGGTTTGGACAGGGCTGACACTGCCTCAGGCAGGCGGTTGCACTAGATGTTCTCTAGTGGTCCCTGCCAGGTCTTAAATATGAAACTTATCATACTGGAAGCCTCAAATTATCGTATTTGCTGGAAAAAACCTACTGTACACAGAAAAATATGCCAATAGCAAATAAGCCTTATTTACTTTCTACTGCTCACTCTAACTCGCCAGGGAGAGAGCGAGAATTAAGCCATCAAAGTTGAAGCCGTTCTTTATTTTGAGGCAAGCCGTCATAAAAAAAAGGTGCTAGCTGCAAACCCCAAAGTCGGGTAAGACTCCCCTCTCTTAGGTTTTACTTACATAGGCTGCAGCAATGACTGTGCACGTGGAGCCCTTTTACTATTAGTGGGCATACATTGTGCCAAGGTTGAACTGCTCGTACAAATACGGGCATTGTCATAATCCTAGCAGCCCCGCGGCCCTGTGGCTGGGACCGCCCCCCACACAGACCCGCCCCCCCATGCCGGGGCTGGGCTACCAATCAGAGCCCACCTCTTGTTCCGCGCGGCCCCGCCCACCCCAGCCCACAAGGGGAGGGCCCTCGCATGGAGCCCCCACCCCTTGGTTCCGAATGACGTAGGGCTCGGCCCA